TTGAAAATCACATCATTCGAAATCGCAACTATTTTACAAATGACAAGACCCTTCAAGATGTAGGTGAGGATGGCTCTCCACAGATTTTTATTTCTTTAATATTTGTGAAATACTATTCTTTTTTCGAGGGTGGGGATGTGAAGCACTGATCCAACCTTTGGGAAATCAAAATCATATATATATATAAATAGCTGGGGAAAAATCAAACGTTCGCTGCCTGACGATTGCGTTTACTTTTATATTGATATTAACATAGACTCTATCTCTGATATTGAGCACTTTATCCCATAAATATAACACACCTTAAGACTATATATATATATATATATATATATATATATATATATATATATATATATATATATATACCCCATCCAAATATTTTCAGCACTATCATTCTGAACCGTCACCCAGGGGCGATAGTCTGTTTCATGTTAAAGGCAATCGTCTGACCATGTGCCTGACTATTATATTTAAGCATGAAACAGACTGTTGCCTCTGGGTGTTGTCTTTAATGTCCACTTTTTATATCTACATATGCACTATCACACAGATACACACACACACACGCGCGCACACACACACATATATATATATATAGAGAGAGAGAGAGATGTATATATTAGATAAAATATAGTTTAAAGGTATGTTATATTTATGAGTTAACCCATGCATATAGCATACTTTAAAACTATATTTTATCATATATATATATCTCTCCTCTCTCTGCATGTATATATATATATATATATATATATATATATATATATATATATATGTGTGTGTGTGTGTGTGTGTGTGTGTGTGTGTGTGTGTGTGTGTGTGTATATATATATATTTAAATAAAACAAAGAATAGTAAAATAAGTATTCCGGTGTTCTTATTGATATTTTTTATTTATTTAATTATTCATTTATTTTTTTGCAAAATAGTGCTCAATGTAAATTTACTGAACATTAATATTATAAATTAACTGATTTAAAATATGTTTTTCGCGACACAGTAATAACCATGTTTCAAAAATGGAAGCTAAAACTTTAAATTTAATTTTGTAACTAAATTAAAATCATTAGTTCCATTTCAACCTCAGGCGAATTTTTGGAGTAACTTATTTTTTTAAATTTACTGACTTTTGACTGCAAGTGAAATTCATAATTTACGGTTACCATGGTTACAGAGAAATCCAATCATATATATATATATATATATATATATATATATATATATATATATATATATATATATATATATATAGAAATATAATTTTAAGGTGTGCTATATTTATGGGATAAAGTGCTTAATATCAGAGATAGAGCATATGTAAATATAAATATAAAAGTGGACATTGAAGACAACACAATGACTAAAATGTTCACTTTTATATATATATATATATATATATATATATATATATATATATATATATATATATACAGTTGTATGAATATGAGTTTTTGGGGATCATCAAACTGGTTAATTTTACAAAAATTGGTTAATTTTTTCAAAAATTGTTTAGCCACAAACGAGTCGGTAATATTCAAGGATGACAACATTTTAATATACAGCAACAACTAGGAATTTTCTGAGTCATTCTGGCTGCAGGTAAGCCGTAGAAGTTTTAAGCTTAAACTAATCGATAAAAAAATATCAGAATGAATGAATACGCTCTAGTAACTAGGAATCTTCTCAGAAATTTTGACAGAATTAAGTCTGGTGTATGTATACGCTTAAACGAGTCGATGATTACAATGATGACAAAATGTCCGAATGAATTCATATAAAAAACTAAGAATATTCTCAGAAACTTTTAGAAGAATTTTGGCAGGATTGTGTATAAGATTAAATGAGTCGATAATTACAATGCTCACAAATATCCAGTTGAATTAATATGCAATAGTATCCCTGAATTTACTCAGAAATTTTGCCAGAAGTAGACCGTAGAGTGTATTGGCTTAAACGTCTCAATAATTACAACGATAACAAAAACGCCTGAATGAATTAATATACAATAATTCTGACAGATATTCGTCTGCTGATTATATATGAATTATATATATATATATATATATATATATATATATATATATATATATATATATATATATGATGTCAAAACGTCCGAATGAATTAATAGGCAATAGTAAATTTCTCAGAAATTGTAACAGAACGTAGGCCGGAGAGTGTATTGGCTTCAACGAGTCGATAATTACAATGATAACAAAAATGTTCGAATGAGTGAATACGCAATAGTAACTAGGGACTTTCTCAGAAATTCTGACAGAAGGAAATCAGGGAATAAATAGATAATGTCAGAAAGGACAAAAGAATTAAAATATAATAGTAATAACGCATTTTCTCTGAAATTCTCTCAGAAGGATTGCCGGATAATGGATTAGCTTAAGTAAGTTGAGAAATTCAGATTGAAAGGATAAAGACGTCTACTGTAGATAAATCCAGAAAAAAATACTTTGTTATAAGAGATGTAGTAAAATGTGGAATATTCTAGAAAAGCAACGTATAATACTAACAACGCCTTGTCTCGGTCATCCAGCCGGGAAGAAGTCCAATGGCGAACAGAATCTGAAACATTATGGCAAAAATATGTATGTTGAACGGAATATTTCAGGAAGAAACTCTACAAAGACAAAACAACATGCAAATGGAATAGATAAGAAATAACAATGAATAAAAATAATCGTAAAAATCTTTGACAAGAGTTTGGATTTTAAAAAATGTCGCAAATTCTGGGACAAATATTGACATAACAAATAATATTAAAGCAAAATTCTATAGATTTGACAGATGGAATATCAATAAAAAGCAAATCTTTACAGTCGAACCTACATTTGAAGAACAGAGACACACACGCACACACACACACACACACATATATATATATATATATATATATATAAAGAGAGAGAGAGAGAGAGATGTGTGTGGGGAGTGTAAGGAAGAGGAAGAATGATAGAGGGGAAGCTCTTTCACATATTCCTTTGTCATTAAGCACGTACTTAGACGTTTACTTATGACAAGTATTGCCTTTGTCAGATGACGGAATGTTGTTTTGCAGAAAATTCAGGCAAGACGAAAACAGACTGTCAAGATTGTTCTAAGAGTCTCTTGGAATTTCGCGCCATTCACTGGAAGCAGAAACCTTGGTAGAGCGCTTGCTTATTGAAGAGAAGGCCGGACTCTTATGAAGTTGTATGACATAAGGAAATTTCGACATGTCTGAGAATGAAGAAAGGGGGCGGTATTAGGACGAGGGACACAAAAGTAAACATAATTTTTACTCAGTCTTTCTTACAACAAAAACATTATTATTTTTCAAAACCTTTTTTTTTATCATGCATCTTCTTCATAGAATAACAAAATTTATTAACCCTTTTCTAAACAATTTTAACCCTTCTGCCTGAGCTCCTGAGACAAAATTCGCAAATAATTTGTATGTAATGTTTAACGGTAGATATAAAAATATTAGTAAATATTTACAATACAACATCACACGAATTTAGACAGATATTGAAGGTGAATATGTCAACAAATATGAGAACAATAATCCGTACAATTTAAATAGTCGAAATAGTTACAAACAATGTAAATAGTGTAAATAGTTACAATACCTCATCTGAGAAATAGAGAGAGATGTTGAAGGTGAATATGGCAATAAAGATGAGGACAACAGTCCAAACAATGTAAATAGTGTAAATAGTTACACTACCTCATCTGAGAAATAGAGACAGATGTTGAAGGTGAATATGGCAGTAAAGATGAGGACAGATGTCCGAACAATGTAAATAGTGTAAATAGTTACAATACCTCATTTCAGAAATATAGACTAATGTAGAACGGACAAAATTTGCAAGAAACAATATTATAAGAAATAACTAGGTAAAAATAATATTAAACAATCATAAAATCTATATAAGACAAAACAATATTAATAAAGCAAAACGACTGTAATAAGGCAAAAAGTTCGCCCAGTAAGAATGATGTTAAGAGACAAATGGGAAAACAGATGGGAGATAACTGCGTTCTGACTTTAAGACAAGATTGAATGCTTGGTTGGTTGATTTTGTTTAGCGGCATATCAACATCTCTGTGGGTTACTTAATACCAAAATCTAAATTTTTTGTACATAATTTTATATTTTCAGAGTAAAAGGCATGTATTTTTTTTAATATATAGTTTGTAGATTATAAAATATATTGCTGGTAATTTAAGTAAAAAATAATTTGTAATTTATTTTATAAAAATATGCCGTTGGTTTTTGTTTGGGTCATCAATATTTGTCTAAAACTGGAACTCTAACAGGTGCTACCACTCCGGATCAGGTTGGACCTGGGAACAACATCAATTAAGAGGTGGTGCCACACTCTTGAAGACCTCACGATCAGATGCCTTGTCGTCGAATGTAGTTTATCTTCATATCCAGGAAAATACAAGAAATGGATTTGGTGTTTTTCGCCTATAAATTGTAGAGGAGGGAAGCATTTTTCTCTTCTTCTATTAATTAAAATTACTGCTATTTTCCTGAAAAAAAAAAGAGGTTTGGTCAATGAATGCTAAATGATTCGGCTAATATTACCAATACCATTTGTTAAACATTCGACTGCTTCAGTCGTCGGTGGCGGACCTGACGTTCCGAAGAAACAGATTTGATTCTTCTTTTTCATAATACCTGGCGGCGCCTATCTCCTCTCCAAAATCTTGACCAACCGCCGAAGATTGGCCCATACACAAGGCCTTCCTCTTTAGAATTCAGAGTTGTCCGTTTGCCATCATAGTCCGGTTGCCATCCATGGCTATAGGACCCTATCTCTTCTGGTGTTTTATCCATACCTGAGGGAGAAGAGATGGAGTCCCCATTAAAATCACACCTCTGATCATTGCCACTGTGACTGTAAACTCTACTTTGAGTGGCTATCGGACCTTGTATTGATTTAAGTTTTGTATTAGAAAATTATAATAACCAAAATTACGTTAAAGCTATATCTCGTTGAAACACCGTTTTTCGTACGATCACCGAAGTTAAGCAACGTCGAGCCTGGTCAGTACATAGCTGGATGACTGCTTGGGAATACAAACTGCTATAAGCTTTTTTTGTGAGGGCGGAATGGTTTAAGGCCACATCACGTTGAGACACCTGTTCCCTTACGATCACCAAAGTTAAGCAAGATCGAACCAGGTCAGTACCTAGATGGGTGACCGCTTGGCAATAACAGGTGCTTGGGAATGCGGTTGGTGTAATGGATAATAGCATGGAATTGAAAATCGGAGAGCCGAGTTCTAATTCGAGTAGCGGTCGTTTTATTTACTTTCGCACACTCTTGAAAAAGGCATAAATCTTACTCTCCTCCCCAGGTAAGGGTTAAATAGTAGTTATTGTATCAGTAAAACATAATTATCTCACCAAAATTCTTACAATCTAAAATAAATCATTTCTGGCTTTAAATAACCTGCAATGGGTTGATATACCGTAAAAACAAGTCAATAAATTAAAAAAAAATGTAACAGTAATAGTGAGATGATGATCCATTTATTGTCAACCCCGGCATTTGGGACATTTTGTGGATGCAGTAAACTTACCCTATTAATAAAATCACAAATGGAAAAAAAATCACCCGAGGAATAAATTCGCTAATATTGATGTTCAGTTCCAAATTAATGGTAATTATGGGTAATTTGTAAGAAATATCATCTATTTTCTATTGGCGAATTATAGAATATTATGCGTTCTGACAAAGAAAAAAACAGACATTATTTGCAGACGGTAAATGGCAGGTCAGAATTCCTGTTGCTAATTATCATATTTGAAATTAACATATATATATATATATATATATATATATATATATATATATATATATATATATATATATATATATATATATATATATATATATATATATATATATTTGCACCAAGTATTTTATTGTAGTTTTCCAATTTTCGCATAAAGTGCTGAGTATTGTGCTCGATGAAGGCACGGTGGAATAATGGAAAGCGGCTCGGATTGAGGAATCGGAGTGCTGAGTTCGAATTCCAGTCGAATCCATTACATTCACTTACGTGTTAATACCCTTAATACTTCTCGTTTTCACTCTTGTATGACATCACGAGCTGCGATCCGATTTTCGCTTCCGCTTGTCGTTGCTTGGAAATTTTTCATGCAACAAAAACAGACTATCACTATCGTTTTGTCCGTGTATTGTTTGATATAGTGAAATGTAATTGCCATCTTTGATAATGGCTCATGTAAGCCGAAAGCTTAGATAGGATTAAAACATGTATCAATATGGTGATTTCCTTTCGTCGTTCAATGATAATGTTATTAAGCTTATCATACAATATGAAAGGAACGAATGAAACACGAATCAATATATATATATATATATATATATATATAAGACATTTTTATGTTTATACATTCTTTTTTTATAGATACAAATATTTAAGTAAATGCTCTGTTTATATTAAAAAGTATTAACAACATTTAGCGGCCTGAATGTCATAGAAAATATGCGTCCTCCGACATAAAAATGTCTTAAAATATAATTGTCGGATTTTGTCCATTTCACAATGTGTGACGTCATTTGTTTACATTTGGATACGCATCGAGCAGATATGAATGTTCGTGAGAAAATCATAGAAAATTATAGTATAAAAACAGTAAAATCAAAACCTTGCTAACAGAAACGCTCCCCTGTAGCGAAATCGGTAAAAGCACGTCAGGCTATATGACGGTTCCGTATATGATAGAGGTTTGATACCTGTCGGAGAACGCATAATTTCTATGAAAATTTATCGGACATTCAGGCCGGTAAATTTTGTTAATACTGTTTATTAAAAACAGAGCATTTACTTACAGAAATTCAACCCAAGCAAACTGCGTCTAAGTTGCAAGCAGCAACCGGAAATGAAATAAGATGAAAAAAAGAACTTTACAAGGATTCGGAAAACGACTGCTGAAAAAGGAAACAAGGGATAAAACCCTACTCCAGTTCAAGAGGGAAAAGTGCGAACTGGATGATAGTCAAATATATTTATTGACCAGGAAATAAAATTATTGGTAAATAAAATATCAAATTTCAGGCGAAGACGTTAGATATACAGAGTTGAATTGAAACAACCAGAATCCAAATCCTAAATAGGAAACCACGGATAATTCTCTACTCCGGTTCAAAAGACTAGAGAGGAGTGTAAACAGGGCGATAAGCGAACCTATCAAATTTGTTAAGGAGTAAAATAATAAATAATTAGTGAGCTAAAATTAACAAATGTATGCTATATGGTTTCACCCTTGCCCACTTGGAGGCATAAATTTGATCTTATCTTCCTGACGTAATCGATAAAGAACTAGTGAAGGTCTGGCAGATATGGAACTGTTTGACGTTTAACGAAGCAATCGTTTTCTTGACCAAAAATCTATTTAAATGGCACAAGTCCCAGCTTCGAAGCTATATGTAAAGTGTCTATTTATGCACGACAATTCGACTTCTCATGTATCTAAGGCTACTCGTGATTTTATTGAACGTGATAACTTTACGAAAGTGTAGATGCAGTGGCGTAGCTAGAGTAAACGTCACCCGGGGCGGTCCTCTCAAATGTCATCCCAATGACCCCAATTCACACTATGCTGAATGGTTAGCTGTAGCTAAATTTTCATACATGCTCTACCTCTACTTTACTCTACTGACCGGTACGTTAATGTTTTACATGTATGATCCAAGACAAAATCCAATACCAAAATATAATCAGTTCAAATCAAAAGCTGAAAACATTTCTATTTTTCCTACTCACAAATTTACCGACAATTTATTAGAAAATTTCTGACGTGGGGACAAAACTGGTGGGGTCATAAATTATTTCTGGGGGGTCATATGCCCGCCTGCGAAACCCTGTGTCTCCACCACTGTTTTCAGACTATATTTGGTACCTTAGCCTGGTTGAAAAATTTTGTTGGGGGTGACATTGTGTCACCCCTCCTGTGCTGGCACCCGGGGCGGTCCGCTCCTCCCCCCTCTTAGCTACGCCACTGAACGAGATGACGGAATGGTTATCATTGAGTCTCGATATGAATATGATCGATGATATATGGTCAATTTTGAAGATGAAATGATATGAAAGTGGCAAAAAAAATAAAAGACAGGAAGCAATTAAAACCATGGTGTCGGAAATTGAACCTGGTGGAGTAAAGAAATTTTCGAAATCAATGGATAAATATTGCTGAATGCTCTTAAGAATAAAGCTGACTATATTAGGATGGAATTATTTCAAAGACTTATCATGTGTTGCGTATTTATTTTATTATAGCTCTTCATCGATTTTCTTGTTAGTGAATTACAAATTGATTTTTTCGTTTTGCATAATAATTTCAGACGGCAGTTTATATAATAAATCCAATAAATTTTATATAAAAAATATTGAAACTAGCTAATACTTCCCGCAAATCCCCTTGGAAATCCATTCTTTTCCTCTCAGCTATGGATTGAATATAAGGACAAATTCGTTCCTCTATTCTTTGTTGGTTACGAGTCTACATCAGAAACCAAAGGTAATCTGCTGCAGGAAAAATTTTCTGTCTAATCTCTCATGTATCGAAAGATACATGATTCCCCAAGTGTGTATCACGTGTGGCACATGTGACCGATTGATTGAAACATTTAACTTAGTTTCATTTTAAAGGATTCAATATTTTAACGTTTAAATAGGAAATAGTTTGTTGCATGTATGTTTTATAAAATGTTTTCATTTTTCAAAACACGGTCAAAATATTGTGTGCATGTTAAAAGTTAATAATATTAAGTGTTGGCTTTTTGTTTATATTACTAAGTCTTCCATTATTTTTAGCCATTTCTTGCATGTAGATGATGCTATTATATTAGTGTTGTCAACAAGTATGTTACGAATAAAAATAAAATAATGGAAACCTTCTTAATAAAAACAAAAAAACACACCTAATAATATTAATTATGAACACGGACACAATATCTTGACCATGTTTTTAAAAATGAAAACATTTTATAAAACATACATGCAACAAGCTATTTCTTATTTAACAGTTAAAATATTGAATCCTTGAAAATGGCTAAATGTACAGCCGAAAGCGCTCGGATAAAAAACATTCGGACAGTTTTTATTTTATCATCTGAAAAGAAAAATATTAGATCGCATGAGAAATTGTATAAAAAACTAAATAAAAGCACCTTGTCTGTCGTATTAATGAAATGTGCATGAAAGAAGGATTGTTGCCTAAATCCAAATATATATATATATATATATATATATATATATATATATATATATATATATAAATATACATATATATGTAAAAAAGACATTTTTATGTTTAACGTTGTTATTTATAAAATGTCTTTAATAAATATTACATTGTCCATTTCTTAATATACATATGTATCTATATGTATTGCACTCTCCCGTCGAATTCGACGTATGAAAGTCAAGCTGATCAATTCCTATGAGACTTGATTGTAAAATCTTGTGCAGAACCATCCACACTTTTTAAAGGGCCGAATACAGAGACATGGTGCACTACGTGGCAACCCCAAACGAACCTTCAGGCTTTGAATTAACAGTTGTCCTTCTCCTAGACCAGTTGGCATCCAATAGAACCCGTCTGTTCTTCTATTTACCCATAGCTGGAAAAGAAGAGAATTCATACCTTTCCCAATGAATATAATGGATTCGACTGGAATTCGAAATCAGCTCTCCGATTCCTCAATTCAAGAAATCCATTACTCCACTGTGCGTGTTTATATATATATATATATATATATATATATATATATATATATATATATATATATATATATATATATAATATATATATATATATATATCATTACCGATGTACTCATGTATGAGAATATACATATATATATAAAATATATATATATATATATATATATATCTCACTTAGCGTATATACTCATGTATGAGTCGACGTCATATACATATATATGTATATATTTATATATATATATATATATATATATATATATATATATATATATATGAAAGAAGGATTATACTATAAATGAGTCGACGTCATATACATATATATATATATATATATATATATATATATATATATATATATATATATATATATATATATATATATATATATATATATATATATATATATATATATATATATATATATATATATATATATATATATATATATATATATATATATATATA